TGCAAACGAGCTGGTAGGGACCAACAAAGATAATAATTTATGCCTTCCTCGTTGCTTCCGATACCTCTTCCACGCCTATCATCTACTGTGCAAAGAATCCGATGGTGGACAAGTGTCAATTGATCGATGGGTGCATTTTTGGTCGAAGAAGGCTATCAAATACAGACAACCTCCCAATCGTGCTGACAAGAGGAACAGGGAGAAGAAGAGGATCATTCGCCTCAAGTTAACTCATAATCCGCCCGGCACTTTTGAATAACATCGTCGCTGGACCTCCGCCGAAGATCAATTGTTTAAGAAGATGGCTGTGATCGAGTTGAAGCTGCAAGAAGAAATTCACTTGGCGGCGTATCTCTCATGTTGGATATGCACGTTCGTCCTCCCCAATGGTGACGTCGACATAATTCGCCCAGGCACCTCAAGATGGCAAGTATGATGGCCAAGGGTTGTATAGTCGGCCTCGCAGTTCCGGTCTTAACGAGCATCTACAAAGGGCTAAACGAGCTTACAAGCTGCAAAAGTCCATCTCGATCGACATTTCCCGTCCACTTCGTTTATAGCTGACTGGCGCTTTACTTTAAAACTCACTTCACAATTGGTCAAACGCACAAACCCTTGATGGTGACATATTCTGGTGAAAATGGCGCAAGACACTTTGTCCCTGAGGAAGCCCGTAGACGTATCCACAAGGGGGACTCCGCTTCATGGACTTGCAATATCATCATCAAGGACCAGACTTCCCGGTACGTCGATGATCAACGAAGGCCTAGATACGAATGGAGGTATTTCACGGCGATTCGGTCTAACTACCTTACATGGCGCCAAGGCATTCGCTTTTTCATTGAGCCATATAGTCCTCATCGTTTCAGTCGCCAATTTGGGTTTTATCAAGATGTTCCTGGTACTTTGAAGAAAGACTTCCGCGAGGGCTCTCTTGACGACAAAATTTACTATTGGCAGCAAAGCGTTCTATGCGGATCCTCATCCAAAGCTTCGTTGCCTTGCGTATCTCCAGATCCGAAGAAATCAACACAAGCTTATAAGTCGTGGTGGCAACAAGTTCACGGAGGCTATCTTGAGCGCCATATAGAGGATTTGCTTGCATCAAAGCCGAACATGATATCTTCGGGAGTCAAAGAGCCAGTTGTTGACCAGGGTGATTCTACAAGTGGAGATCATGAGGCGCTTCT